TGATGGGGAGCTTAGCGTGCAGCCGTGGATCTACAGACAGTGTAAACTTAAGCTCTGAGCAGCACAGCACAATTAACCCCATTTAGAAAAGCTGCCACTGTCTCAGCCTAGAAAACTCACTCAGCAGCCACACACCAAGCTCTGGCTAATGCAGCTTTCCCATAGACTGTACAAAGAGTGCACTAAGGTCACCCAAGACGTCACCCATACTGTTCGGCTCCAGTCAAATGAAGCTCACTAGGTTAGAAGTTATAGGATTATATCATATTAGGAATGGGAATTGATTTATGGACAAAACAGTGAAATAAAAACACCAGGATCACGTTAATGTGAACAATTGAAGACCAAAATGACAGCTGAACTGTTCACTGTATCAGGTATTGGTTTGGCCTAGAATGCCTCTTCACGTCTAAACTTTTATTCATAATGAGTTGTTCTGTAGTTACTTGCAGGATACACAACACAGGATACACAACAACAGGTGTTTTAAAAGATAATAGGGTCAGTTATCACATATTGTATTTGGCACTGAAAATCAAAGAAATGTATTGTAACTAAAAAAACTGGATCGGATGCATTTATAATAAAAAAATAAGGAAGTCAGAAGAGAATGAGGCTTAACATGGTGTTGAGGGCGGATCCACTTCTCGTACTGTGTAAGTCTAGATTTGAGTTTTGATTAGTCGAGTAAAAATCCTGATGACTCATACTGCCAACATTGTGTAAGACATAGTCTGACAGCATCAAAATAACATGATGTAATAGTAGTAATGGACTGGCAGTATGGAGAACCAAGAACTACTGGACAATAGACCGTTTGTACTGGAGGTCACTTTATCTGAATTAAGCTTTAGCTCATCTATGAATGAACACAACACAAGTCCTGACTTTTAAAAGGTCAACTATAACTTTTCCAGTGACTGATGTCTTAACTGCTAAAAATATGTTGAAAAAACACATATTCTTCCTGTGAATGGGGTCATCTCTCCACAGATCTGACATGTAACATGTCATGTCATGTTTGAAATCTGAAGAGATCTACACTATAGTCCCCTGGTTTTATACAGAATTAGTCACCATGGAGACACAATACATTTAGATCAGTTTCATCTTTTGCCATTTGCTGATTTTTGCTGACTATATTGAGTTTAGGGACTCATCAGAGAATCGTTTTTTGATTAGTCGACTAGTCAAACAAGTATTTGTAATGCAAATGTGGATTTTCAAAAGTCATTTTAACTAAATAAAAGGCTGAAATATGGGGACTGAAGCCTTATAGATAGAAAATGATTGATGAATATTGTAATATTAATTAGGAATGAACCAGTTTTCAGTTCCAATAGTTAGTTTTAAGTTTTCCATAGTTTTAAGTTAGTTTAAGTATTTGCTGATACCCAAAACCAAACGATGCCAACCGATACCAGTGCAGGGACTATAAATAGACTCGTTTTCCTAAAAAATTAAAAATATTGTGTGACAAAATGTTGTATTTAGTTGTTTTTTATCCCTAATTAAAAGCTCAAACATTATTTTCTGAACTTTCTGAACCAATTACAACCAATAAATAGACTTATTACATCAATTAATGTCCATCCAGGATATCAGCAGAACCGATATTTTGGAGCCAATATCCGATCCAGCAAATTTTTCAATTTGGAGATATTCTATGCCAGTATCAAAGTATCACTGTTACTGATGACAGTTAGAAATGGTAATTTTTTTTTTAACATTTGATTTAATAATGCCACAGTCTTTCTTCTAAGAACGATGTGTTGTAGAGTCTGTATAGTCCAGATTACGATCACGATTGTCAAAATATGACTATGATTCTATTTTACAGTGGCCCAGTCCTGGTCAGAGCTGGATTTGAGAGTTTGGAGGTGTTCAGTGCCTCCTTTGCTGATGCAGGACAGTGCAGTGTGCTTATGTGGCTGCTGTGTTAAAGCCAGGCACCTGGGGAGTGAGGAGAGAGTAGAGTTACTGACACTGTATCCACACTGCTACACACACTGTTCACGAGGTGAGCTTAGCATCTTTCTCCAATGGTGTGTGAAGAGCTCTCAGACTGGAGGCAGACGGAGCAAACCACCAGAAGGATAATAAAAGGTAGAGGGAGGTGTAAAGAAATCAAATAGGAATTGTTGTTCTGGAGATACGCTAATTCATAATATCAGGAAAATTGTTTAGAATAAAAACTAAATTTCTGCAAAAATATTGAAAACTGCCATTATATAGTCACCACAAGAAAAATATACTGATACACATTTGTTTTTGCCAATCTTGGGCGTAAGGCTATAGTTAAAAGCTACTCCATGTAAACCATATTTCCTAGGGATGGTACAAGATCTCGAGAGACAAAATCTCCACAAGATCGTACACACAAGACAAAAATGATCTTGTGAGATATTTTTCCAAATGTTTCGATTTAGATTGGACAAAAAGGGTTAAGTATCGGTGAGTTACATCTTTTACAGTTCCAAAAAAGTACTAGAACAGAAACAAAAATATGAAATCAAATAAATTAAAAAATGTGAGACCAAAATTTAAAATTTAATTGTGAAATGTATATATTAAGAATAATGTTAAAATCTTGTCTTGGACCCAATCTCGCATCTAGTCTCAACTCGTGGAAATTATGTCACGTCCCATTCCTGATATTTTCTGATCTATGTATATTTGGGCCGAGTTCTCTCAAACCGAAAACACTCTGTTCCACCTTTTGATGTCCTGTGGTAACAGAGGAAGTGCTCCACTGTGTTTTTAAAATGGAATTTGTTTATGTTTGTCCATAGTGGAACACTTCCTTCACTAGAATGATCTGGGTAATTTCAGTCCTTGAATTGTCCATTCTCTATTCTATTCTCTACTGAACAAAAGGTAAAAGTGAACTTCAAAACTACCTTTTTATGACATCACAATGTTGAACAGAGCTTTTCCAGTTTTTGGTATGTAGACAGACTAATAATACAGGGTTACTCAATGAAACTAAACACAACTCCAGGTATGTTTTTGATGAGGTAACAACATTACAACATGACTTAAAGCTCACAGGAGTCTGTTTTGCATAATATAGGACCTTTAATTCACATAACTCAACCTCAAAAGTGAAAGTTACTATTTTAATCTTTGCAGCAAACATTGCACCACCCATCTCCATAGATACATTTGACATTTTAGAATTATTTCATTTTATTTGTACATAACTGTAAAGCTGAGCCCTATTTGAGACACATCTTATGCTTTCTTTGCTATTTAGTTCATTTTCTATTGTTACTCTTTATAACAGAATAGTAACGCATGAGCTACTGTGTCCATGTAATTCCTGTGGACCAATAAACATTGTCTAAGTGTAACTCATTTTTGCGGATAACCAGCTCAATTCAAGAATTTTCTGATTTAAATTCAGTTATTTTGCTGTGACCCAGGAGAGATTCTCTCTTGAGCTAACTAGGGAGGAAGAATTGTGTGATTTGTGAAACGGTGAGAGAAAACTGAAATTATTTGGTTAGTGAAGTCATAGACTCAAAGAACAGATCCTTCTTTTACTGTCATTTAAATAGCTTTGACTGACAGCAACAGTCAATATTTTCTGATCTAAATATTGTGTTCTTCCCATAAAAACATAATAGTGGATTATATGTGGAGGATAAATGGTATGAAAATCCAGTGTTCTCTCTGCAATACCTAAAACTGTATTAGCCCTGACATCCCAAGAGTGAAACAGGTGCACTTTTTTTTTAACAGTTTTAGCCATACTAACTTAAATTTGGTAAACATGAACATGATTCTTGAAATATAGACTTGCACATTATTGGAAAACGTACAGAATCTAGACAAAACTCAAGTCCCTAGAGGCAGCCATACAGGAGATTGTGCAACATCTGAGAACCATGTGTGAGCAAAACAACAGCACTATGGACAAGTCTTATTTCAAGTAGATCTAAGCCAACTAGGTTAGAAGCACCTTGGTTTTGTTAAAACACATTATAATTACTTTGTTACATATAGCTATGAGTTAAATGATCTTTAATAGGTCCCATATTACACAAATGTGACTCTTGTGAGCTTTGCGCCATGGTAGAATGCTATTAGCTTATCTAAAACATACCTGGAGTTCTGTTTTTTTTCATTCACACGTTTCACTAAGTCTTTTTTCTTAGATTGTCTACATGCTCTATTCCACCATATGATGTTACAAAGTGGTAGATTTCAAGTTAACAGCTTTTACATTTTGTTCAGTAGAGATTGATTTCAAACCTTGAACTGCCAACCAAATGATTCTTATGAAAGTATATTGAGTTTAAAACACGGTGGAGCATTTCCTACATGACATGACATCACAAGGTGTAAGACTGTAGAACTCAGTGTACATCTGCAGGATTTGTGTGTTAAATATGTGTGAATGAAACAAAACCCAACTCCAGGTCCAGGTATGTTTTAGATAAGGAAACAACATTATGAAATAGATCAGAAGATACCATATATATAATATTGTCACTTTAAATGACCCTATCTATGGTCAGTTCCCCATTTCCAGTGTGATCTAGTCAATTTAAATGCAAGATTTGATTCCCGGGGCATTATTAACCTACAAACCCCGAAATTACATCGAATCTGCCTTCATTTCATCATTAACACGCCCAAACTTAGTAAACGTACTTGGCTTTCCAGAAAATTCCGCCTGTAATAGTCTCGGGCTGATAAGTGCACTTAAATAAACAGGACTGGATCAGAAGACAGTCTACTGTATGCACGGGCGAGCCTTTGTCACAAACCGAGAGCGAACACAGCGCAAAAAGGCTCCAATAATCATGACATCTGCACTGGATGAGAATAAAAACAACACACGTCCGATATGAGCATGTTATACCACGATCATGATTAGTTTGATAGTGTATTTAAAGCGTTTTGCGGCATCCTCTGCGGCTTGGCTAATGCTAAGCTAACGCTGCTAACAAACACAAACAGATCGAGGAAGAAAAGACTAAACGCCTCGGTACCTTTTAAAATCCCGCATAAGTCGTCGTCTGGCCGGGGTCGACATGCTTCAAACTGTATTTAAAGAAACTAAAAAGGGTCTTAAACGTGTCTCTGGTCCCCACAAAACGATAGATTTGGTGTTTTCTCCGTCCGGTCCTTCTCTTCCGCCACCACAGCGGCTCACAGCGCTTTTCTTCTCCCAAAACAGCTCGCCAACCTCGGCTGCGCTGCTTCGGTGACGTCGGTGCGGCGGATGTACAGCCCCCTTTACGACACACTTGGCTTTCTCGGGGCTTTTGAGGAAATAGTGGTCTAAAAAAGCTTTGCAGTGACGAGAAACTGGGCAGAAAATTGAGAAGTTTTGACAACTGAATAGAATAAAAGGCAAAATGCATAATTTAGTGACAGAGTGGACCAATTTGCAGTGTAATGTGTGCAGTTTTGGGAATAACACATGCACGAAGAAACAAATCAGACGTAAGAGTGACAGAAGTAAGACAAAACTCTAGTCTACTAAATAAATAATGGCCTAACATGTTTAATAAAGTACAAATATTTAGAATGAAGTAGCCAGGGTTTCAAGGTCGGGGTATTTGTTGCTATGGTAACAATAGGACCATAAACAAACAAAAACAATGTCAGCCCTGGCCCCGTGGTATTCCCAAACTGTCCAAGCCAAAAACTTCAAAATAACCACACACCCAACCCTATTGAATGAGACTATTGAATCAAACGGGTTAGATGTGTTTATCTGAGAAGGTTAACTGTATGTGTGGTCATAGTACTCAAATTTCAAACATGATTTTGGTACTAAAGAATAGACTCGATACTCAGTACTCATTCTGATACCCAAATTATCATTTTTAAACACATAATAATAGTTTTTGTTTATTTTGCCATTTGTTCTTACTCTAGTATCCAGTTATGTGATTCTAGTTTCTAGTTTTAATATTAGTTTTAGTAGCCTATTGATTAGGAGCCTATTTGATTTTCGATGCTTTTGACAGCCCTATACCCCTTTGTTTTAATGCATGTCCTTATTTAATGTTATCATAGTTTATACTTACTATAAACTATGATTACCAAGATGTACTCAATTACAAGTACAAGTATAGGCCTATTGTTTCTAAAATTAGACTTGGACTTAGACAAACTTTATTGATCCACAAGGGAAATTATTTGGACACAGAAGCTCACACATCACAATGTAATATAATAACAAAGAGAAAAAAAATATAAATGGTAATGATAAATTCTAAATAAGTACCAAAAAAAGCAAGAGACAGGTGTGAAATAAGACATAATTATATAAATGTAAATGTACAAATAAAATAAAAATATAGAGATGAAGTAATAAAAATCTGTCTCAGCCATATACAAGAGGTCATATGGAAAAACAGACAGTACAGCGTTATCTGTTCCCTGTGAGTATGGTATGAATGTAGTCTTGTGTATGGTATGTAGTCCTGACGAAAACTTTACTTAAGTAGGCCTACAGAGAACACAGAGAAGATGCAGTGCAAAAATATATATAAATGAAACCATTTTCAGGTGACGTCAGTCTGCATATACTGTGAGCAGTGAGGAGACGATACAGAGCTGTGATGTGAGTGAGTCGTGTAGAGAGGAGCAGAGACACACGTGGACAAGGACGGGGGGACTTGTACAGTAACTTCTGTGATTTTAGATGTAACTACAGTTACATGGCTAGAATTATACTCAATTACTAGTACAGGTACAGTTTTAAATATCTATTCAAAGAAGTACAGTTACCCCAAAACAGCGTAAGTACTTGTGAAGTACTGTCACGTGGAAACAGAGGGAGGACCGAAAACACAGGACTGCTTCAAAATACTTAATGACAAACCAAAAAAATCCAAAACGCAAGACTATTGCCATGACAAGAGACACGGAGAAACTCGAACAGAGACAATGGACCAACAAAGGGCAGACGAGAACACGGTATAAATGCACACACATGAATGAGACACAGGTGACACATTAGGGCGAGGCAAACAATCAACAACAAACAATCAGGAAGTAAAACTCAGAACTACAAGCAGACAAGACAAATGTCAAAATAAAACACAAACTACAACCACTACAAACATGAACCATGACAAGTACTCAAGTAAAAATTTTAATGAACTCTTCTGACATTTTAAAGTGGATACTAAGAGCAGGTGTCTCCTTTCTACTCAACTACATTTTTGAACTGGATGGAAAAGTAAAAGTATATTTTATTATTCCCTGAGATCTGTGGAAAATGCCAAGAGGTTTATTTGTACATAGTTTGAGCAAACAAAAATACAAAGACTATATATACAAAACATAAAGCTTTATTATGTCTCCATACTTTTACGTTTTTCTCTCTAAGAACATTGTTAACTGGGCACTTTAATACTTTTATGTAAGTAGATTTTTTCATACAGTACTTTTACTTGAGTATTTTTTGTTCCATCTGTACTCTCTACTTAAATAACAAAACTGAGTACTTTTTTCACCACTGGTAATTAGTTACTTCATCCCCTGCTAACTTTGACTGTTTTTAATAGCAATAAAGCTTACATACATTGTCATAGGCCTGTTTTGAAGTGATATCTTGTAATCATCACCAAGGGCGGCCCTCAGCTCAGTGCCTCGTGACCCCTGGGGCCTTGTGGGGCCCACAGTTTTTCTTAACAGTAACAGAATACAGCTCATACAGGCCAAAATGATCAGACCACAAAAGAATCATTGAAACTCTCTGTAGCAACTTCATAAGCAGCTCTGTATATGATTTCTAGTGCAAGTGTGACTTCATGCAGGCTAAACAGATGACCTGCCCACCACCAGGTCCAGTTATGAGTTAGGTCTGTGGAGAGGCAAGCATGCCTACGGTTTGCATACGTATATATTTACACAACAAAATAGCACTACTTTTTAGGTGAAATCTAACATTTTTGACCAATATGTATTCTTACAGTGCATTTGAAATAGTTTTTTAATATACTGGTATATCTTCTCCCTTGCTGCTCTATTTGTTACAAGTCAGCTCTGTGAAGAGGGAAGCCTGCATACAGCAACTATGCATGTTTTCAAGGTGTTTTGCCTAAACCTATAGCAATATTATTAGTTTATTTTTTGGCTGCAATCTAGTATATATTTTAACCAACATGTATCCTTGTTGTAAGTGGGCTTGCCTCTCCATAGACCTGACTTGTTCCTTGGCCCAGTGGATGGCAGGTTGCAGCACTGTGTACAGCCTATGTCTCATCATTGTCTGTGACTATGTAATGCTTTTGAATATTTTAAGTACAGGCCTACATCTTCCCTGGAGCTATGAGTCAGGTGTGTGGAAAGGCAAGTCAGCCTACAGTAAAGATGTATGAGTTCTGCCTAACAAAACCTCTAACATAACAACCTCTTATTTTAGTTATTTCTTGGCTGAAATCTTATATACATTTTGATAAATATGTATCCTTATTGTGAGTGGGATTGCCTCTCCACAGACGTGACTTGTACCTTGGCCTGATGGATGGCAGGTTGCACTGTAGTACTTTCTGAAATGATCAGGTATTTGAACATTCATTTTGAGCTGTCATACTTCTACATCTCTGTAAGGTACCAGCACTAAATATAGGCAGTGTAGCAGAGTGACCGGAGATGTCTGTTGCCATAGAAACTGCACCCGGTCCTGCGGTGGAGAGAAATGAGATTTTAAAAGTTACAAAACAAAAGTGAAGCATGCAATTAGGTTTGACATGTGATGAGGAGACAAAGAGCGTTACCAAACCAAATGTAACAGGATTAAAGCAGAAATGGTATCGGCCTAATCCAATTGTAACACAGCCTGTATCCTGCCATAAGACACATGCATCGTACAGAACTTATTATAAAAGTACAGCTGGCTTCACTTAGCCACAACCAGCACATACACTTTTAATGGAGGTGGGTAGTATTCACTTACATTTACTTCAGTACCTTTTTGAAGGAATTTTACTTTTCAGAGTACTTTTTCAGCAGCATACTTCACCTTGAGTAAAAGCCATGGTTCCTCTTCCCAATAAATCTACAAGTGACAAAAGTTTTATGTGACAATCTGAAATGATTTGAACATTTGTGTTTCTTGCAGCTTCTTCAAATCTGATTTAGTTTGACTCATTTTTGTGTTTGTCCTTTGAAAATGTTTTGTCCTTCAAATTACATTCTCTTGTAATTATAAATCAGATGTTACTCTTTACCCTTACTTGAGTAGTACATTTCACAAATACTTTTTTTTACTCTGAAGTGATGTTATTTTGAAGTAACGCTACTCTTATTTAACTATAATATTTGGTGGATTAATCAGAGAGATGCTCTGTGGGGGTTTACATGTAAGAAAAGATAAAAACAACATAAAAGACCGAGAAATAGTGTAGATTATATTAGAATCAATAACGGAAGCACCAAACTATTAATTATCTCAAATCAAAGAAGTTACAGAGTTTACTCTGAATGATAAGAGAGTTTTGGAGGGGAGATGTCTATATTTAAGAGAGACGTGATAAAAGGAGCATCTGTGGTTGGACCACCTCAAGTTTACCTGGTCCTGTTCCAGTCCCTTCTAGATTTGAACTGGATACAGAAGGGACTGGCTGCTCAGGCAGCTGGACCACTGTAAATCTTTTGAAATGTACCAGTTCTGTTTTTCACATTTTCAAGACAGTAAAAATCAGTTACAAAGACTTTAGTAAGGAACAATATGTGATCTGGAGATGAACATACTGTAATAGTGACGCTCCTGGGTGTCTAAAGAGTGCACTGTCAAAGACATCTACATTTAAAAATATTTAACTGCAAAAATCAACCTTTATTTATTCTCTGCATTTAACATTTAACATTTACCTTAGGTAAATAATGCACTTCACTGTGCTGGCCAGGAGAGGGAGCGCCATACCTCACATTCACAGCTGAACTCTGCTGTTGTCATGGTGACCGGGTTTCCTGACAGACGCAGATTCTGATTGGTCCAAATGGAGACAGCAGGGTTCACATAGAAGCCTGGATCATAAGACCAATAATAATGCATGGATATAAAGCTGGTTCAGTCTTGTTAAGTCCTGGTCTAGTCCTAGTCTATAGTCCTGGTTCAGTCCTAGTTTAGTCCTGGATATACAGTATATCCTGGTTTATTGCTGATTTATTCCTGGTTTATTGCTGGTTTACTGCTGGTTGAGTCCTGGTCTGGTCCTGATCTAGTCCTGGCCTATACCT